GAATTGGAGCCAGTCTTCCTGAAGAAATTGAAAGACATAAACAAAGATCTTAAAATCTTTCAATAATAAATGCGTGGGACAAAAAAACATATTGGTTCATGGTGTGATTTCGAAATGTCAAAAAAGAAAGTTTTTCAAACAAATTTCGATTCTTACGGACTGAATCAAAATGAATTTCACAGAGAGATTACCGCTGTTTCCGAGTACTATTTCCAAGTTACGCTGCCCTGCGTGATTGTAATTTTCACATAATTTACAAAGTGGTTTTAAAGGTTATCTGCGTAAGGAAAAAATATCTGAGATTTCCCAAACACTGGGATTTTGACATGCAAGTATATTTAAATGAAATTAAATCGAACAGTCAAATAAATATTTTACACTTTTGAAAGTCTACTTTCAGGACATAATATTGAATTTCTCGAGAGGTTCCCCACGTGTGTTGATAGAGTGTTTGTGTGGAGTACATTCAAAGAAGTGAAGCCAAAGATCACCAAGCCACTCGCAAGCAAGGGTTGGATGCGATCGGATTGAGTTACATTACATCCTTGAACATGCGTTAGATGCGTAATGTCCACTTGCGTATTGGTAAAATTTTTGCTCTTAAAATTGGCGTTTCACATCGTTTTTACGCGGCCTTACGCGGCAACCGCCAGCCATTCTTCGTAGCTGACCTCTTGATGCAGGTTTAACTGTGTAGGAAAATGATGTCATAAGGGAGGATTGGTGACTCAACGTCAACAGCCACAAGTAGGAGAAATGTTCATCATTGAGTCAGACTTGTTTTCTGTTTTGCATCTCCTTGGTTGAGAGAGAGGCCCAAGTTTCCTTCATAGATCAATCATTAGCCGCATTAAAGCAAAAGCAATACAACCCAAGTTGAAAATCAATGTAAATATACCTTTCATTTCCAAAGCAGTCGTCCTTTCAGACATGTTCTTAACATTCACGTTTACTAAATCCAATTTTCGTTCGATATTTGCGTCCAGGGAGTCGAAGCGTTTGGACAAAGCTTCAATGGCTTTGAACATTGAGTCCTGGTTATCTGTAAGCAATCGCGACAAAATAAAAGCTAAAATGGCTGATAACACACGTAGGTGGTGCAAAGAAAAATTATGGCACGTTGTGAACATTCGAGCTGCAGCCCAGATCCCCTACCAAATGAAATTCAACCATCGAACCTTTTAGAAAAGGCTTCCGATGGTTTTGTTCATCGTCTTCAGTTTCTTCAAGGACCTTAAGATGAGCAGTGGAAAAAGAGGCCCAATGCACTCGCATATATGCGACTTAAAATGCATACCTTGCATTTCCAAAGCAGTTGTCCTCTGAGATGCGTTCTTAACATGGACATTTACTAAATCCAGTTTTCTTCCGATATTTACGTCCAGTGAGTCAAGACGTTTGGACAATGCTTCAAAGGCTTTGTACATTGAGTCCATCTTTTCTGTAGACAATCATGACAAATAGAAAAGGATTTTTTAACGCAAGCGATAACCCATTTAAGTGCCAAGGACAAAGAACAACTGGGTTTCCTGATGAGGATTCTAACCCCTCCTATTACGGCCCAAATGCTCCAGCAGCTGTAATGCAAACACTAAAGCTCTCTAAATGTTTTTTTGTTTAAATCATCAAGTTTTCAAAGCAGGTTAACACATTTGACCTAAAACTGACTCTTTTAAAACAAGGAAGGCTGGTTTATCAACTTAGAGCAGGCACATCTATTTAGATGACAAAAACGAGCTCCACACCAGCTATGACTTTTTCACAAATCAAAACCTCATTAAAGAAACACCACTACAAGTTCTAAATATACAAACCTTGCATTTCCAAGACCGTTGTTCTTTGAGATGTGTTCGTAACATTCAAATTTACGAGATCCTCTCCAATTTGTTTGTCTTGCCAGTCAAGGCGATTGGACAAAGCTTCAATGGCTTCGTTTATTGAGTCCAGTTTTTTTATGGACAGCAATGATAAATGAAGATGTTAAAAAAACTGATTGTTTACGTAAGCGGAACAAGGTTCGTTAAAGTCCTAAATGTAATAACTGTCCTAAATGTAATAAAGTCCTAAATGTAATAACATTTGGTCCTAAATGTAATAAAGCCCTAAATGTAATAACGTTCGGTCCTAAATGTAATAAGCCTCCTATGCAATCGTTTAACTGCGCTAACATTGAGATGTTAAAGTGACAGCTGTTGCACTAAAGAATCCTCTGACCAATGTTCATGGAATATTGCGGGCTCACTGATATTAATCAGCGTCTTTTTATTTGCTAAAGACGTAGGTTGAGAAGCATTGACTACAAAACCTTATACTGATACTGGTGTGCTTTTGGCATCAAATTGACGTACGCAAAAGCAATGAGAACGTTGACCAATAGCTCTCTTTATATCATTGGCTCAGACTCTTCAGTGTGAAAGACTTTGACGATATACCTCTGTCATCAGTGCTGAAGTTAACACTTCATGAACCGAATTACAAGGAAAAGGAAGTCCACCGACTCATACGTTAGACAAATTCTGGGCTCGGAAGGGCATTTTTTGTACTGTCTTCCCTTGCCAGATTTGTACAGGTCTGCATAAAATATATTCATGTGCGTTATTGACCAAGCGTGAGGTCAAAATGGCTGGATATTGGCCGAGTTCTTTTTTATATTTATAAATATATTTTATAATATTTCAATTTTTGTCTTCATCTCTTCTCCCCACCGTGAGGGGAGAAAATGAATAGATAAATAGATGAAAGAAAAAAGAAAGCTCAACAGTTTCTACTTATAGTCATATGGTACATGAACTGATTACTGAGGTGGAGTAAAGCCATAGAGGGCTAGAAATGCAATACTCCAGGTTCAAAATTGAATAAATCAGGATAGTCATTCTTAAAAATGGACTCAAATGCTTCATTAAAATCAATTGACACTTAATAACATTGATGTGCAAAATTTCAGTAACGCTACTGATAATAATAAATTTCATTTGGATTGACATGTGACACAGCGAAATCATCCAAACTGCTCTAAAACGGTGCATCACTACTAAAGACTTTAACACGAACGATAAAATCAACAATAGCATGCTAGTTCATCATCAATTGTAGCCAATTTCTTTTCCAAAAAAACTTAATGATTACGTACCAATCGATTCCATCCTATTGAGCTTCCAGTCAAGCACTAGCCCACTTTGGGCTGGAAATGATTTTCTTCAACTCGATCAAGAAACCACTTTAAGGACCATACTTCGACTGCTGATATTTCTTATGTCTAACAAGTAAAAAAACGCTGATTGATATCAGCGAGCCCGTAATGTGACATGTATACTGGTCAGCGGTTTTTTGGGTGCAACAGCTGTCACTAACATTTCAATGTGGATGTCCGCCATAACAACAATGCGCTGAAGGAGTTAAACGATTGCATTGGAGACTTATTACATTTAGGATCAAATGTTATTACATTTAGGACTTTATTACATTTAGGACCAAATGTTATTACATTTAGGACTTTATTACATTTAGGACAGTTATTACATTTAGGACTTCAACAAGGTTCTCGGTAATGATTTGGGCCCTTGAGCGAACCAGACGTTTTACTGACTGAAATAAAAGAGCTGAGCCTCACTGAAAAAGTTTAGCATTCTCCACATTTGAAGGCCGGCTCTTTTCTTTACTGAGGCCGCTTTTTCTTGGCAAGGGGAGAAGGGGAGAGGGAGTTAGCAGATGCGTTGCATTGACTGATGCATGATAGTTGCGCAAGAACCGCATTAATTGGCGCAGGAATGCCCGAGTGAGTCAAAGAAGAGAAAATGCAAGACATCGGCAAGACGTTTCAAACGCAAGAAGCTTAAACTCCATTCCACAAGAAGCTGCAAAAGGGCAACTAACGCAACTGTGAACTTCAAATAGCAGTAAGAAGTCGTTTTGCAACATTTTGGTAACTTCCCAGCTTACGCGTTACGAACGAGTGATTCATCAGCCAAACAGATGCTGACCCAAACACTTCTACTGAGAGGGAGGATAAGGTATAATCGCTGAAATAATATGCGCGCAGTACAAGCCAATTTTTTGGTGCCATAACCGCATATAAACATCTTTCTTCAAACGTATGTCTTACCTTTCTGTGCCCCGCATAGCCTTCGTCCTGATACAGACAGCGTAATAAATATCAATAACAGGGCCAGCAAGACAGCCATGGTGAGCAAACAAGCGATCTTCCAGTGTGCAGCTGTTCCCCACCCCCTTTTAGTCTTCTGTTGCTGATCTTCATCAATAAGCAATGGTTCCATTCTGAAACGCAACGAAAAGGAGTAACCTTGGTTTCATCAAAGGTAAGCAATACCAAGAGGAAATACAACTAAAAAGGATTCCTGATCGCAGATTGGTGAAACATTTCAAGTTCTGTAGGTGGTTTTCGCATTTGAAAATGAAAATATTCAGTCTACATTTTTTGTTAAAAAATTTCATCATTTGCCGATTCTATATTCAGGAAGAATCTAAACGACAATCGCAAACAACGTGCACCACTTTCACAGAGAGTTTTAACCCTTCAGTCCTAACACGAGCAGGCGTTAATTGGATCAAAATCCTAAATTCTCTCAGGTGAATGTCGCCAAAACTTCCTGACACGCTTGGAGAATTAGTACTGTTTTTCCTGGTGCAGTGGGGGAGGGGGGGGCGGCTGTTCACAGGCTAAGGTGTTGCTGTCGCTGATTTTTTTCTTTTTTCATCTAATCGAAAGTTGATGTGAAACGGAATCAGTCATTCTAAAGGTTGCGTTGTAAAAGATTAACGTATCAAATCACCTACACTGTGCGGCTAAGAGCCCTTTATACTGACACGGCACTCGCCTGCTTTATATTGGTAATACAGAAGTTTGAGTCACGTATCACAGATGATCCAAGTTGGCTAAAATCTTTATTGGTAAGTCATTCTGCCAAAAACTCTAATGCTGCTGATTACGTTTGATGACAAAGAGCTAGAAAACTGAATGCGACACTAACTTACTGTTTTTGCGAATAGTTCCCTTATTAAGCGTGTTGTTTTGGAGTTACGATGGAATCAAAACATAAAACTACTCCGAATTAAAACAGATAATATATACTTATATACTATATAAAATTAACGTTTTTTAGTGGGGGGAACGCACATGACTGTTACACTCGTAAACAGAAGAGCGAAATCTTTACT